AATCCTAAAGCTTCAATGTGATTAAGAAGGCTTGGAGTAAACAATCTCTCTTCTAACAAATCATTATGGGTGTAAGGATGCCTAGGGATCTCCTCTTCTTCTTCTTCTCTTTATTCTTCATCTTTTTCCTCTCTATCTTCAATGTTGGTTTTTAGCCTCTTTGCCTCTTTTAGGGTTTTCAACTTCGTGGGATGGAATTGGTTCTTCTATGAGTCTAGCTTTCTTGGTCCTTGGCATACCTTGATCTAGGGAGAAGAGTGCTCATGCCATAGAAATTTGGTTAAATGCTAAATCTCAAAAATTTTGCAAAAGCTTGCATTGGTATTTTTTAAGTTTGTTGATGTTAATGGTCTAGAGTTCCTCCCCAACTAAAGTTTTTTACTTTGTTATGCTAAGGTTTTCAATCTTTACAATTATAATGGCCTTTCTCATCTTTTTTTTGCATTTTTTTTGCTAAGATTTTGGATATTTCTTCAAATTTGTTTTCTAATTTAGAATCTCTAATTCCTTCAATTTTTTTTTGCACTCATTGAATGTTTTATGGCACGCTTGTATAGCATTGAAAGTCCCTCAATCTTTCTTTCATAAAGTTTCTCAAGTTTTATTATTTCTCCAAGTTAATGGCTATGTGGAGCAATGGTACAATATCCAAAAGCATATTTAAATGGTGTATAATTTATTAAGGCTTTGTACGTAGTGTGATATACCTATATTGCATTGTGGATTCTCTCATCCTGTCTCTCTAGTTATTTTCACTATTTTCTTAAGGATTCTTTTCAAGGTTTTATTTATTAACACTACTTAGCCATTTCCTTGCAAGTAGTATGGCATTGTAGTTGATGATAAGTTCATGAATGAAAATCTTAATGGTGTTACTTTATGACAAGTTCACAAGATAAACCATATCTTGTGATAATTATGTTGTATAAGAATTTTATTGTCTTCTTTGCAGTTGTTTATTTCATTGACTTTTTGCCCACTTAATCATGTAAGTTTTCACAATTTATTGCACTTTATATAGATAATATTCTTCACCCTTTTTGAATTTTATTAAAGTTGTTTCTGTCTCTATCACACTATATTCTTCTAAGAATATTTATGATACTTTACTACATTTAAGAATGGTGAATTGTAAGCCATAGTTGATTCCCATCTCTAAAGCTTTGCACTTCTTCTACTGCTTTTACTAATGTTTTAGAGTATCAAAATTTAGTTGGTATACTAATGTATATTGCTAATGCTACTAGGCCAAATATTGTATATATTCCTAAATCCTTAGGGCAATATCTCATAGCTCCACAAATTATTCATTAGAAGGCAGCAAAATGAGTTCTTCAATATTTTAAAAGCATTATTAATATGAGATCACTTATACTTGTTTTGGAATTTATTCTATACATTGATTCAGATTAAGCTAGTGCAGTTAATGACTCTTATTGATCTACAAGAGGCTTGTTTCCTTATAAATTCTAGTTGCCTCTTGGTTTTCTAAGCATCAATAGTGCATAGCAATATTTTCTATAAAAATAAAATATTTTCAGCTAGTCTAGCCACTCAAGAAATCATATGACTTTATAGACTACTTACTGAGTTGGGACATTCTTCGTCACTCCCCACATCCATATATTATGATAATCAATCTACTATTATTTTGGCTAAAGATTCAGCCCTTCACTCAAAGTCTAAGCATATCAACATACTATCAGTATGTTTAATTTGAAATATGCCTCTTTGGCTACCTTTATTATGAAATATGTGGAGTCTTGGCCACTGATGCCCTGGTTAATGATTTAAGTGAGTAGTTTTTCATGTTTTGTTAATAGTGTCCATAATCTTATATCTTATGTTTTACTTTGCCTCTACATATCTGTAGGGGGGAAGGATATAGATAATTTATAGAAAATATAGGGTAGTAGTTATTAGGGATTAGAGGACTACCTTAAAGTAGTGTAAGCTAACATTTTAGTTTATGTGAACTTAAATAGTTATATGATGATCTAGTCTATACATATCAAGGATTATGTATTAGGGCATATTTTAACCTACCTTACTTCAAGGAGATCACAACACCCGCAGTAGCTTATGGAAATCTCACATACTCCAAGATGAAGCTTGAAGTGCTGTAGACAAAGCTGTCGAATGCACTTGCCGCCCAAAAACAAGAGCTCACAACCACTCCTAAACGAAGTGCTGCTCGGCACTATTGCTGGGTGTTGTGCGGCCCAACCATACTGCTGGAGCGCCGCCTATTGAGGCTGCCACGAGCTCCCATGTCAAGCAACCATGGGTGATGCTCACCGTGCCCATGGATGGAGCTCACAGCGCCCATCACAGCAAGATGGGAATATGCAAGTACTCTCTACCAGCAATCTCAAAATCAAGGTCAATAAAGTCAAGGATCAAGGCTTACATGACTGCTTGGACGTCGTCCTGGACAATAGCAAAAGGAAGTGGAGTAGATGTATCCAAGTATTGCTTGCAAATAGAATTTTTTCGAAAGTTTCACATCCTTAATTTTCTGATTAGCTTTTCATGGTGATAAATGTATGATTGGCAACTTGCTATTCTTCTGCAGATCAATTTTGTCTTTGAATCTGCACTCACACCCGCCGATAGGGCCTAAACTTGCCACCAGGTGGAACTCCCGGCGGCCCATGGGAGCTCCACTACTGTTTAGATTCCTTTCAGCTGAATATATAGATATGGTTTGTTTCATGGATGCAATGTATAATCATTACAAATTACATAATAAATTCTCTTGTTGTATAGGTGCAATCGAGGGTGAGTCAAAGTCTCTTCCAGAAACTGATAGATCATGGAAAGTCGGTCACTTGAATTTTCACGTTCATATCATATACGTAGCAAATACGTAATTGCAATGCGAACAAAACTATACTCTAGATTTTCAAAAGTTGTGATGTAACCCAAGGACTTCGCTTGCAACCCACCCGCTATATAAATGCACCCCGCCTCTCCATTCAATCAAACACTGCTCAGCTCTATCCATAGTTAAAGTGTTACTGTTTGCAATGGCGTCCCTTCGTGCTGTCGCTGCTTTCTTCTTGTGCATGCTCGTTGTTGCAATGGTGGAGCACGCCAATGTGGTGGAAGCTCAGGCAGCCTGTGCAACCCGTCCCTGTTGCGGTCCTCAGGGTGGAGGAGGCCGCTGCAACCCGGGCCTGTGCTGCAGCCAGTTTGGCTACTGCGGATCGACATCTGATTACTGTGGTGCGGGCTGCCAGCCTCGCTATGGAAGATGCAACTAAATATTCCATATAATGTGCTAGACACCTGCAACATGAAAGTTGCGAATAATATCTAAATAAGCACTGGTGTCCTTTATTCTCTTTTTATATATATGGTGTAATGTTACCAAGCTGAACGCATTAAGCATCTCATCCAATGCAATCTCCTTCGTCATGACGCCCAATGCGCTGCAGGTTAGTGTGGTGGATTCCTTCCACTGCATGAAATAGCTTTTCTTTTACAGCATTCATCTGAATTGGACCTGCTATTTCTCCCTTGGCTTGGCATTCAAATTAAGCAGTGAACAGAAAGCGTACAGGAGCGGCCTGGTGTAAGACCTCAGATTGACTTTTTATTCAGGGCTTCAATGTAGAAATCGCAGTGATCTGTTGAGTGCTAGAGCAGCAGCATCCTCTCTTTGCATCGGCTGTTTTTTAAGGCAGACTGTACGAATTTATAATGTTCATGGTCGTAACATGTTATGTGGCACTTGAGCATTGCTATCGCACTAGCTTATCTCTTAGCTGCGCAGCTAAGAAAGAAGTTGAGTCCAACCAGAAGGACTGGGCTGTGATTCACATAATAAACATTTTGGTTTTACCAAGCAAGGTTGGCTCTATCACTTGAGATGCACAGCCGTCTGGGCGCTATATCTAGAGTGGTAGGATTGTAGTTGCAATGGTTTCAATGCCAATATCTTTTATTTGATGATATTACTATGACAACAAGAGATTGGCGATTGTTCGTGGGGCTGATTCAAATTGCCAGGCATAGAGCTGGATTTACTGGAACAAGCTTCTTATAAAATTCATACACCGGCAATAACGTGCAATAAAAAGGAATCAAGACTCAAGAATCTAACATCTAGCTTACAACTAGGTCATGATCTTCTTTTAACTTGCGTTCATTTTTGAGGAATTACAGCTTGCTTTTGAGACTGGAAGGGAGAGCACAGCTCCAAGGCCTAGGAATCCTGTGCTGGTGCACATGATCCTGAGCCACCATGGCATGCGCCGCCATTGGAAGGAGAGAATTGAGTGCGAGAGAAATAAAAGCTGCAATGGATAGCCGTTGAAAAACCACACATCCAACCTTCTAAAGTCTCTACTGTCACAGCTTTATGACCAGACTGGCATCAGTTTTTTGACATTTGAACTTGCTACAGTGGCATCTTGCGGGTGCAGCGGACAGAAAAAAGAATCAGAAACACAAGAACAAGAAAACAAGGCTAGATACTGAAAAACAAAACTGGAAACCAAACTTCTATCTTCTACCTTATTTTGACAGTGCTTGTTCCATGTGAAGTGTGAAAGTTTAATTACCCAAATAGCAGCACTCTCTCTCTCTCTCTCTCTCTCCAAGTTTGTGAATGGCATCTGTTCGATTTGGAGCTCTCACTGCTCTCTTCCTGTTCGTGCTCGTTATCGCAATGGCCGGTGTCATGGTGGAAGCTCAGGGAGAGTGCGCAAACGGGCCGTGTTGCGGTGCTCAGGGTGGCGGAGGCGTCTGCACCTCGACCCTGTGCTGCAGCCAGTTCGGCTTCTGCGGATGGTCGAGTGATTTCTGTGGAGCGGGCTGCCAGAAGGGATACGGCAGCTGCAACTAACACCAAAGTTTGCCAGAAACTAGTTTCAATCTGTAGCCACTCTCGCCACTCTGGATCAATAAGTCACATGGCCATGTTTCCATTGATTCTTAAGACTTGATCAATTTCCAAAACGTTCAATATTACATGTTTTAGATCCATGAAAAAGGGCGAAAGGTGGTGGATCGAGATTAGGGCTTGTTTTAATACATCTAAAACAACGTTTCTTCTTGGTCTAGAAAACGCCGTCCACCAAATTGTGTAGAGAAGCTCCTGAGAAGTTTCTCTTGACTTGATATCAAACCATCCACGCAACTTTGCCTTAGCAACAAAATTGCGCAACTTAGCAAGCGCAAACAGACCCAGAAAAGAGTCGCAACGAGGAAGAGAGATCCAGAGATGAAGCAAGCCCTGGTAAAGTAAAAGAAAATGGTAGCAATGGGGAAGAACAAGGGCCATGTCGTCGCAGTACCTTTCCCGGCCCAGGGCCATATGTCGCCAATGCTCCATCTTTGCAAGCGCATCGCGGCCGATGGCTACCGCGTCTCGTTCGTCAATCCCAGCAGCATACACGAGCAGATGGTCCGCCGCTGGAAGCCATCGCCAGGCCTGGACATCCACCTGGATCAGCTCCCATTCTCAGTCCACATCCCCCACGGCATGGACACTTACGCGGCGCTCAACTTGAGCTGGTTCTTCGACGAGCTCGCCACCATGTCCGCCTCGCTCACCGAGCTCCTCCACAGATTCTCGGACGAGGGAGCTCCGGCTTGCTGCGTCATCTCGGATGTCTTCCTGCCGTGGACTCAGGACGTCGCCAACAAAGCTGGAATCCCGCGAGTTGTCCTCTGGGCGTCTGGTGCGACGTGGTCGGTGTTCGAGACCTATGCAAAGGAGCTGTCAGAGAGAGGTCACTTGCCATTGAAAGGTAAGCAAGCACTTACCTTTGGGGAAAAGCTCTGGACCGGAACGTAACGTTGGCTGTGTTTGCAGACTCGGATGTTTTCGACGATAGCTGCACCATCGACTATCTTCCGGGAGTCACTCCGCTTCCAGCATCCGCCATCCCGACTTACATGAGAATCACAGAAAAACGCTGGGTGGAGCTCATACTAGAGAGGTGTGAAAGCATCTGGCGTCGAGAAACTCCGTGGATACTTGTCAACTCTTTCTACGAGCTGGAGCAGATCACTTTCGACTCGATGGTTAAGGAGTTTGGCGAGAACTACGTCCCGATCGGCCCACTGTTCTTGCGTGACGGTCGTGACGGTGAGTCGGCAGGGCCCGAAAATGTCTTGCTGCGCGACCAGAGTATGGAATCGCTGGAGTGGCTCGACCAGCAGAAGGAATCGTCGGTGCTCTACATATCCTTCGGTAGCATCGCCGCTATTAGCAAGGAACAGTTTGAAGAACTGTCTGGAGCTCTTGAGGACTTGCAGCAGCCGTTCCTGTGGGTAGTGCGGCCGGAGCTCTTCACAAACTTCACGCCGGAGTTCCAAACTTCATATGCGAGCTTCTGCGAGAGGACCAAGGCGCTGGGAATGGTGATACCTTGGGGAACCCAGCTGCAAATCCTACAGCACCCGGCTCTTGGAGGATTCCTCACACACTGCGGCTGGAACTCCATCATCGAGAGCATTGCCAATGGCGTTCCTATGATTGCTTGGCCGTGGGGAGCGGAGCAGAACACCAACGCCAAGCTCATAACAGTCGACTGGAAAGTTGCCTCCAAACTTCCAACCAGGGGTTACTTCGAGCTCGTCCCAAAGTCCGAGATTGCCAAGGCCATCAAAGCCGTGACGGACGACGGGCAGGAGCGGGCTGTCCTCCAAGAAAACGTACAGCGTCTGAAGAAGCTGGCCAGGAAAGCTATTCTCGACGGAGGGCAGTCTTTGTTGAATCTGGAGAAGTTCCTTGACCAGATCGGTCAATGGGCTTCTTGAAAGCTGTTCTCGATACGTTCTTCGCTGACCAGCGCATAATAGCTTGTTGCATTCAGCTGCTCTCTCTCCCACTGCTCCCTCCCTCCCCGTGTCTGTACCGTCCTCCCTGTGTGACGGCGCAAAGTCGAGTCAAGTGAACTGTCCATTTAGTTGAGACTTTCAGCCCTGTACGACCTTGGCCGCAGCAGCAGTGTCGCATTCGGCGGCAGCGCTGCCGACCTTCCTTTCCCCATAACTGTGCAGAACCTTGAGCAGCTTCACAGCTTTGCGCCTCGCCCTCTGCGTGCAATGGCTCTGGAGCAGCAGCAGCAAGGACGTCGAAGCCCGCGCTTGAAAGGCCATCTCCAGTGCCTCCTCATTGCTGTCCAAAGGAGTGCTGGTCTCGGTGCAAATAACGGAGCACAGCACCCCCGCTGCGTACTCCGTCCCACGGTCCGACACCCTGAGAATCATGCTCAGTAGCAAAGGAATCGCCAGCGCGTGGCGCAGGATTGCCGCTCTTCCCTCCAAAGTCGTCGACAGCAGCTCCAAAGTTGCTAGCATCCTCTCGGAAGTCACCCCTTTGGCTTCCGTGAGCAGCTCCAGCAAACTTGCCACCACCCCTGCCTTGACTGCTGCCACCCGGTTGTCCTTGCTCAAGCACAGCGCTAGCAACGCCTTCACCCCACACTTGACAAGCTGCTCCTCACGCTCGCTCAAGAGTCCCACCACTGCTTCCAAAAAACTCCCAGCGTCTAACGTATCAACCTGCTGTTCTTCGCTTTGAGAGACCGCCGAGAGCATGACTACAAGCGTCGTAGCCGCCACCTTAGACGAGCTTGGACCTGTTCGAAGGAGCCGCTCTAGCACCGAACTAATGCCTGGAGCCCGAGCTATTGCTTCCAACACTAAGTCGCTACTACTAGAAAGAGTGACGAGCAAACTAAACACTACATCCAATACCTCCGCAGACTTATCTATATCGTTGCCCTCGTCCGACACCAAGAACGCCACAAGCTCGCTGTGGAGTCCCATCTTCACCATCGTCTGGCGATTCCGCGATGAAACCGCCAGTGAGCTCAGCGATCTTAGAGCCTGTGACGAACAGCACCTGGAGCTTATGACCTCCCTGACAAGATCCTCCAGAGACCGTGGCTGTTGATGCTTCTCTAAACATCCCAGTTCCTGGATTCTTACCCGTGGCGATTCTACGCGAGGACTGATCACATCGATCGTGGCCAAGTACCGACTGCCGGCATTGCCCCTGACGCTGCGATTGTGTAATTTGAGGGCAAGCTCCCATTGCGTCGAGCTCGGCACTCTCTGGAATCTCCTGTTGCATTCTTGCCTCTCTGCCGCCTCCGCCGCGACCCTATTCTCTTTGTCATCGCTGCAAGAGGAGGCGATCGTCGTGGTCGCTACCGATGACGCCGATGAGGAGCTGCGATCCTGCGGCACAGCTGGAGATGGCGTGCAAGGGCTGAGGACCACATCCGAGCACGCGCCAAACATCCCGCACGAGAAAATCTGCGCTGGCTTCACATATTTCAGCCGCGGATGATGCCGCCGCAGCTTCATCGATGCGCCTCGATCAAGCACAAAGATCGAAATCTATCGGCGCCGAAAGGAAGATCGAAGCGCGGAAGGAGAAGAACCCTGACAGAGCTAGCCCGATCGAAGCGCCGCGGATGATTGCTGGATTCCCCCTCGCATTTCTCTATAACCCTGGCAGCATTCTCTGGCGCGCGCCAATAACCTGAAGCCCTCCACCATTCGATCAGTCGATCCAACGGCAGCCGCGGCCCACCACGTGGCAATCAAACATATTTTGGAATCCGAGCCGTTAAAACCCCAAACGCAGCGATCGCGACCGTCCATCTGGCATTCTGTTCACACGAACAAGCGTGGCTCTCAATAAATGGACCCGAGAAACGAATACAGGAGAAGAACGTTGATTCAAACCATAGACGATTTTGGCGGTTAGCTGACTCTTTGACCGCCCGCCTCGAACGAATATTCACGCCAGGTGTACGGGCATATCCCATGCCTTTATTGCCTACACGGAGCTTTAAGGCAGCGTGCCAAAAATTCGATCCCAGAAATTCGAAGTTATGCCAAAGCCTACTGTCTGGTTCTTGAAGTGATGATTCAAATGGTACCTCTGGAAAAATCAATCTTTGGATGAGCGATCGAAAGATATGGTGGGAAAAAATGATTTTTCTTACCTTGAGCCTTCTACTCCATTGATCGAAGGCGACTCCATGGTGGAGAAAGTAGTGTGTAACGTCGTAGATCACGTAGCCGAGGATCCCTCCTCCCAGGATCGTTGGCGCCATTTCGCGAGGAGCTAGCGACGCGATGATCGGCCAGAACTGGAGAGCAAAGCGTGGATCGATCGATAAGTTCGTGATAGATCATCAAAAGTTTTTGGAGAACTTTGCTTACGATCGAGAGAAACCCGAGAGTGGCCGCTGGAGGAAACACTAGCCGGTACCCGTCCATTGGATGCTTGTGGTGGCAACCATGAAGGAGATAATGGAATGTGTTCGACCTGCGAGATCCAAAGTTTCAAAGTTGGCCTCGAGAAAAATGGAAAAAGATCATAAGCACTCTTACCAGTAGCCTGATGTTTTGACGTGAAAAAGAAATCGATGCATGCTATACTCGAGAAGTGACCAGATAATCACTCCAGAGATCAAGCACGAGACAATGCTTTGCGACTTTAGGCCTCTTTGAGATGACACAAGTAGAAGCCAGCATATAAATGGAAGCCAAACCAGCGGGATCACCCACCAGACTGTTCGTGTCAAAGACTGGAACCAAAGGAAGAACTTGAGATTTCTAGCTTGGAAGTTTCGGAAGATCGCGTACCTCGAGGATCTGGTTCTCGAAAAACCGAGGGCTCTCTTTGCAAACGATAGGCTGGTGCACCCATTTCTCGTAAGCGTCTCCGAGGTGACCGACCTGAGCGACGAGAGGTTTGCTCAAATCGACTGTGAAGCCTCGAGTCTTTGGTTTTGTCTCTGAATCCTCGGAGTTCTTCGATCTATACAATCGCAGAAGTTTGAAGTCCCAACTTATAGAAGAAAAACCAAAGAACACTCGAGAAAACCACACCTGTGTTGCGAATTCTCAAGAATTCCAATGTGGAACTTCTCCAAAGTATCGAATGCGGCATCGCTGTGAGAATGCGCGGCCGGATCGTCGGAGCCCCTCATCAAGCTTCCAACATTGTCACTGTCAAGGCTCTGGGAAATTATCTGGAAAAACCATTATAAGGTTCCATCAAACAGTTCCTAGCTACTGGGAATCAAATCAAACTCTTACCTGTGGGCCTCCCGGATGATCATCTAGGAACTGTGTCACATCGTAGACCTGGCCATCGACAATAATCCACGCATCCCCGGCGGATCTGTGCTTGCGGACGTCCGCCAAGCTCCACACACCCATTGACCGATCGATCGACCGATCCAATCGATCGATCCAGCGCCGGGAGGGATCGCAATGTAGATCTATCGCTAACAAGATCGAGCGTCGCTCACACACTCCCACCGCATCGGGCAAAAGCCTTTCCGACACAAATCCTGACGAAATGGACGGCTCAGATTGAGCCCTAAACTAAAAGGGTAGAGAAATTTTTGCTCTATATAATCCTTCTTGGACTATGCCGTAGAAACCAAAACTTTGCTTGTGCTGGATGGCGATGGCGGTAGCGAGCCTATCAACAGTGTTGATTCCTCGGCTGAAACTTCATAAGGGACTGGAGTGTCCAGCACAGAATCTGGAAGAACCGCCATTGTCTTCTCCAGCAGCTCGGAAAAACTCTGGAAATCTAGAACTCAGGACGAAGCGCAAAAAAGAGTGAAAGAGCATTGCTTGCCTTTGCGTGCCGGACATGCTCGTCAATCGCTTGCCTCCACCTTGACGATCCTTTCTCGCCATGGAATAAGTTGGCGACCGGCTGAAACCATTCTGGTGTCAATCGAATCGTTTTCTGGAGTGGTATAGTTACCTTCACTAAAACCCGGATTCCTGGCTTGTTGTTCCCGTACTTTCCAATGACTGACTCTGCGTACTCTTCATACTCGCGTAAAACCTGCACACTAAGACGAAGTTTTGCATCACTCCAAACGACGAAGAATTGCGAAGATAACTCCGATTGATGGAGATGAAAAGAAATATGCAATGAATTCTACCTGACGACGTGTGATTCGTCTCTCGGGCATTCCGTAAATACAACTATCCGCTCTAGCCAAGGTGCACCATGGTCTAAGAAAGCCAAAGATTAAATCAAGGATTGATCTAAGTTTCTCTCAAACTTACGTGTTATATGCCGCACGGCCAAGCATCACTCCGTTTACACCTTTATCACTTATGAGATAGTTCACCTAGAAACACACCTTAGAGCTTTCGTAAACATGGAGAAAACAGTGTAGTACCTGCTCAACCGTGGTAATGCCACCGTTTAACGTGAACTGAAGATCAGGAAAATCTCTCATCAACGCAAGAACATACTCGTATCTGCGATGAAAGTCGTAAATCTTTGTTTGTGTTCGTCTGAACGAAGCATACTCACTTCAAGGGAGGAGCAACACGGTTCTGTGCTGGACTGAGGCCTTCCAGCAACGCTTTGCGAGCATGGATGATAAAATGTTGAGTTGGAGAAAGTGATGAAACTGTAGAGACGAAGTTACCTGCGGACACAAGGTCAAGCTAGGCAAAAGTTTCAAAGGACTTGTTACAAAGTTGGTCATATGAGTCTGAATCGTCGACGCCTATCCTACACTTAACAGTAACAGGAGCGGAACTTTCTTCCCCAATGGCTTGCATTGCTTCCCCGACTAGCTGAGAAAACGATCAAAACTGAAGCAAAAGAAAGAAAAAGGAATGAAAAAAGCCATACTCTTGGAGAAAGCATAAGACGAGCTCCAAAGCATCCATGGCCCGCTACTTTGCTGCTTGGACAACCGCAACTGCGAAGAACAACTCAAACACCGAAACAAGAGAAAAACAAGTAAAAAAACTTACTTAAAGTTGATCTCATCGTAGCCAAACGCGCTCACAAGCTTCGCAGCTTTGGATAGATTCGCGAGATTACTCCCACCGAGTTGTAAGACAATTGGATGCTGTGCGGCAGGAAACTCAAGCCACCTCTCCTGTGGTCACACATTAGTTCTTTCATTCTAGAGCAAGAAATCCATTACCAAATCATTCTCGTGATGCACGATTGTCTCCGCAACAACCATCTCAGTGTAGAGCCACGAGCAGCGGCTTAGAATTCTAGCCAGCGCGCGGAAGTGATTGTCAGTCCATTCCATCATTGGCGCAACACTACACTGCGGCATTTCTTATAAGCGATCCAGAGGCTTCTCGATTCCAGAGGCTACACAACTAGAAATTACCTGAACCAAGGCGGAGGACGTGAATCCACAGAGCTGAGAGACGAAGACAGGCGCCATCTCTGATCGCGTCGTGGATGATGCGCCATTGCCCTCCACATTGCCGCGCCAAATGCGTCGACGCCATAGCTCCCAACGAGAGCCATATTTTCAAATGCTAAGAACCCTAAACCCTTTTAATTTCCATACCCTAGGTAGCAAGCATTCCCTCGCTCGATTCAATCGAAGGCGCTGCTCTTCAATCTTGGTACGCTCGATTTCGTCCTTGTTGCTGCGAATCCTACATTCTTTCTCGAGAATGTGCGCGTTAGAGATTGATTTTTGAAAGAATTATAGATGTTTCGCAAGGATTTCTTACTGGACTGCTCGTAGTGTTTATGTCTTTCGTATGTGCAGCGGCAGCAGCGAGCGTCAGGATTTCACTGCGTTGCTTGGGGACGAAAGCGTGCCCTCCCGGCCAGATCGAGCAGCTGCCAATGGCTCAGCTCAAAGAAATTGGCAAGAACAAAATGTTTGGGGGATTCAACCGGCGATTCCAGCATCCGAGTAGCTCTTGTGGCTGCGATATGAATTTCAGTGTCTACTTCCCTCCAGCAGCGGATCATGGCAAAGTTCCAGTAAGTTTAGCTATAGTTTGTTTTGTTCTTTTGTTCTTTCTCATTGGTGGAAAGTTCCAGTGAGTGTAGCTATAGTTTGTTCTGTTCTTTTCTTCTTTCTCTTGGTTGTAAGTTTCGACGTTTCCTTTGCTCAGGTTCTTTACTGGCTCTCGGGTCTTACGTGCACGGACGAGAACTTTATTCAGAAATCTGGAGCACAGCGTGTTGCTGCTGCTGAAGGAGTAGCAATTGTCTGTCCTGATACGTCCCCTCGTAAGTTTCTTTTTCTTTACACAGTATGGTATTGTTCCTGGGTTTGTAAATGATTTGGGAATGTATCAGGTGGCCTAGGAGTTGAAGGAGAATCTGATAGCTGGGACTTTGGTGTAGGCGAGTGCTTTTTGCTTCGCAAAAACAATTACCTTGGTTTCTTTGGCTTTTTCTTTTTTTCTCAGGTGCCGGGTTTTATCTCAATGCAACTCAAGAAAAATGGAAAAAGTGGCGAATGTATGACTACTGCACCAAGGAGCTTCCAGAACTCCTCCGCTCCAGTTTCGATCAGCTGGACACTAAGAATGCGTCAATCTTCGGGCATTCAATGGGTGGTCACGGGGCTTTAACTATTTTTCTGAAGAACCCAGACAAGTACAAGGTGAGCTATAAGGTTCTTACTCTTACTCTGACTTTTTCTTTTTCCCTTTTAACAGTCTGTGTCTGCGTTCGCTCCGATTGCGAATCCTGTGAATTGTCCATGGGGACAGAAAGCTTTCTCTGGATATCTGGGAGATGACAAATCGTTGTGGGAAGTAAGTCTTGGACGCTTTCCATCATTTTTAATCCTCTTGTAACCAATCTGCTTACAGGAGTATGATGCCTCTCTACTTTCACGTAAGTACAAGGGCCATCCTACAAAAATCTTGATCGACCAGGTAATCCTTATTCTATTTTCGCGGCTCTTGTTCCCTTAGCTGGAGTGATTGATGTACAGGGCGATGATGACAAGTTTTACAAAGAAAAGCAGCTCCTGCCACAAAATATTGTGGAATCTGAGCTTTTGCGAGTGGAGCTCCATTTGAGAAGCGGGTACGATCACTCATATTTCTTCATTGCCTCTTTCGTGGAGGACCACATCAAGATGCATGCCAGAGCACTGAAGTCTTAATGCTTGAGTGTCGTGGGTTTGGAACCTTATATATTCAAGGGAAAAGTGGTTCTTTGCTTCTCTATGGGTACTGAAAAGCTAGTTGTAGTTGTAGGCGCAGGATTGGCAGGTCTGGCGGCCGCTCGGGAAGTGCAATCGCATGGAGTAAGAGTGCTGGTTTTGGAAGCGTCGGGTGTTCTGGGCGGAAGGATCAAGCAGCTCAATGGGCTCGTGCCGTGGCTGGTTGAGGTACTTTCTTTTCGTTTTGGCTCTCCGGCTAAAACCAACCATTTTGTCTGGTGTGTAGCTTGGGCCCGAGTTTCTTCACGGAAAGCAAAACTCGTCCATCGCTCAGATAGCCAACGAGATGGGCTGCACAATGACAGAGCTCCCCTATCATATCCTTGTCTCGTTTTCCTTGTTTTTGCCTATGTTTGCCTTGACAACTTGTCACCCGATTTTTATTATGTTGGCAGTGAGAGCAGGCTCCTAACATCCGAGGAGGCAGAGGACCATTCTGAGATTCAGACTGTGCATGGCATATTTGCAGCACTCGCGGAAGAAACGCATCCATCGCCAGACATATGCATGGATGAGTTTTTGCGGAGGAATAAAGTGAGCGACACTGTCGTTCAGCTCGCGGAGTGTAAGTGGCGTCCTCGTTTCTTCGGCCTTTTTTTTTTGCTTTTCACCAGATAGCTTGTGCTTGCAGCTATTTATGCGAACGATTTTGGCTGTTCGCTGTATCAGCTCGGTGTTGGCGAGTGCATTGAGGAGGCACGGCAGTGGATTTACGGTGACACTTACATGCTCCTGGACAGGCCTCTTTCTTCGATCGTGGACCATCTCTCCAAAGGATTAAATGCAGGTGTGGAGTTCTTCCCACGAATCAAAACTAAGTTTGTTGCGCTGTTCAGGTGCTGACAAGCCATCCGGTTGAAGACATCACGTATTCTCCAACTGGTGAACTCGAAGTGAAATGTAGAGGAGGTGCTAAATTTCAAGCGCACTATACAATCGTGACCGTGCCAGTGGTAAGCTGAGCTTGTCGAGGCAATTTAGCTGCTAAAGCTTTTGTTTCTTCCAGAAAATCCTGGAGGACGAGTCTATTCGATTCAATCCACCGCTTCCAAAGACTAAAGTGGACGCAGCGTCCACCATAGGAATGTCAAGCGCTGTCAAGGTACCAGCTAAGTTGATCGTCTACAAAATCTTCCTTTTTTTTCTCCAGATTCTTCTTGCTTTCTCGCAAAGATTTTGGCCAGAGGAAATGTTTGACGTCGTCTGCACCGATTGCTTCGTGCCAGAGTTCTGGGCGACACAGTATCCCTGCAAATCCAGCCCCGACGAAGAAGCTCTCGGCAGTGTGCTGCTGGTCGGATTCATCGCAGGGGAAACAGCACGCCAGATTTCCAAGCTCTCACACAGCGAGATCTTCTCGAGAGCACTCTCTCAACTGGACGAGATCTTCGCGAAGATAAAACCAACCAAGAACGCAAAGCTCTCGATCGAAACTTTCCAAGTGTCTGGCGGATTCTACACTCGAGCAGCAGCGAAACCTTTCGATCCGGAGCTCCAGCCAGCGTCATTCTACTTCGCGGCAGCGTCTCTGGTGGATTGGTCGCGCGAGGAATTCGTCCGTGGAGGATACTCGCATCCTTCTCTCAACGCTCGAGGTGCTCGCGAAGAACTCGCCAAGCCAGTCCATGGAAGGCTCTTCTTCGCGGGCGAGGCTACTCATCCTGGAGTGAATCCTTGCATGCAAGCAGCCATCGACTCTGGAATTCGCGCAGCTCGCGAAGTTCTTGGCTGTGTGATTTAGAGAATCGTTTTGGAATCTCTTCAAGCTATGTTAATTTCCCTCCAATAAATCAAGCAATCAGGGTTTTGGCTATGGCGACGAGTCTCTTGGCTCACAAGAGTGGCGTCTTCTTTGGCAGCGCGAGCGCGCTCTGCGATTTCCAGGCGCGACCGGCATTGCGATCGTCCAGGCGCGACACCGTTCGCGCGTCGTCCAGGTCCGCGGGAGGAGAATGCCGGGATTTTGCGCTCCGGGATGTCTTTGCGAAGCGCGCATTCAAGGTATTCGTCTGGATCGATGGCGATGGGAGAGGGTTTGATGGTGGGATTTTCTTGCAGGTGATTGCTGGGCTCAACAATTTCGATCGAGAGAATGTGGCTGATGTGGTTGTCGCCGCCGAGAAGGTGGGCAACATAGCGATTCCTTCGCCAAAAATCTCTTGATTTTCTTTGGTTTTGCCAAGGGTGGCGCGACGCATGTAGATATCGCTTGTGATCCACAGCTCGTCGAGCTTGCGCTTGGCTTAACTTCATTGCCGGTAAGAAATTCCACTCTTCTTATTCTTCCCGTTTTGTTCATAGATGGTAGGGTTAAATTCCATTCCTTTCATTCTTCTCTCTTTCTTTTGTGTTCTTCTCTTTTCTTTGAGAATGACTCACATACATTTTAGATATGTGTCTCTGCCGTGGATCCAGAGGCATTTGTGGCGGCTGTGGATGCCGGAGCACACATGGTTCGTCATCTCATCTCTTAGAAAACAAAGCAAAGAGTTCTTGGCATTGATTCGTGTTCTTTTCCAGATCGAAATTGGAAACTTCGACTCGTTTTACGACAGTGGCAGAGTTTTTTCTTCCAAGGAGGTGAAACTTTTAGTCTCTTCTCCACGCTCGCTACTTACTACTTGCTGGATTCACGCAGGTCTTAGAGCTCACTAGAAGAACTAGGGAACTTTTGCCACACATCACTCTTTCAGTGACGGTGCCACATACTTTGCCACTCGATGAGCAGGAAAGATTTCCTTTTTTTTTTATTCATAAGCTGTCTTACACATTGCTGTTGGTCTCTCTTCCAGGTCCAGCTCGCCGAGGCTTTAGAGGAAGAGGGTGCCGATATCATCCAAACAGAGGGTGGAACAGCTTCTACTCCTTCAAAGCCTGGGATCACAGGTCTCATTGAAAAGGTAGAGTCGTCTTGTGGATATCTTCTTTCCCAGCTTACAAATTTCAATTTAAAACAGGCAACTCCCACACTAGCAGCTGCGTATTCCATCTCCAGAGCTATTACGCTTCCAGTTCTCTGTGCCTCTGGATTGAGTGCAGTGACAGCTCCAATGGCGATCACTGCTGGCGCTTCTGGAGTGGTAAATTTACCATCAAGCGTTTCTTCTTCGTTTTTAACGTTTGCACCATTTCTTCCAGGGCATTGGCTCAGCTGTGAACAAACTGAACAGCCAACTTGCAATGGTGGCGACTGTTCGCAGCATTGCGGATGCAATGGGACTAGAACCATCCACTGAAAAGATTCCAGAGAGAGCTCGAGACAAAGCTTGATTAGTTCTTCAACGATCAAAGCCAAACGATCACAGTCATAAGCAAGAACAAAGAAAAACTCCGTCACCCTCGTCGCCGCGCCCTTGTCCCGTGCGTACTACTCTCGTTGGTATCAAAATGTATATAAATTATGAAGGAGTTCCCGGGTAGGGCGAGCATGTTCCCGCCCAGAACAGGCGAGCCTGTGCCTGTGGAATGGCCTTAACTGGCTGTGGTGAGACCGTTAATGGACATGTGGAAGAATGTTGATGGAAGAATGTGGAGGATGAGAGGGTTCTCTAGAATTGGCAGTTGATAACTTGGTTTTCCAGAACCTAGCAGCTGAGGTTCTAGTTGTTAGCCACGTTTTTGCAGATAACCTGATTTGATCTGACAGCTGCTAATGGTTGGATCAAGTTAACAAGCAAACTATTGGCAGCCATCAGATCAAGTCAGATTCTCTGTAAGAACGTGGCTTGACAACTGCCAAGTTGTTTAGAACCTAGTTGCCAGCGGCCAGGTTCTGGAGACCCAGGCTACCAACTGCCAATTTTGGAGAACCCTCTCATCCTTGAATAACATTCTTCCATGTGTCCATTAACAGTCTTGCCATGATTTGTTCTAAAATATTTCATTTTCGGAGCAGTTGCAGACCTCATTAATATTTTCGCAGACTTTCAAACAGCTTGCCTACACTTGAAGTCTCACCCTGTTTGATTTTCTTGGGAGAGAATCAACACTCACCACTGATCCCATTTGCATTTTTGCACATCCATCAGTCTCATGCTAGCGTGGGCACCACAATACTCTCTAACACAACATATAGATAGATAGATAGATAGATATCTCAAGAACACAGCTAGAATGGAGGCGCTGATCAATGAGTTTGAGGACATGTGTAGAAATGCAGCCGCTGTTCAGGAGGAGGTCTTGGGGACCATTGTTGAGCACAATGCTTCTTGCGAGTTCCTCCAGAGCTACAATGTGACCGACGTAGATTCATTCAAAGCTCATGTCCCCGTTGTGGGCTATGAAGACATTGCTGCGAAGATCCAGCGCATGGCAGATGGAGATCCATCCTCCATTCTGTGCAAAGACCCCGTCCTTGCGTTCATCTCGAGGTTTGATAGCCATATTTGTTTGCTTAGCTCCAATACAACATATGTTTTCTGTAGCTCCGGAACAACCACTGAGAAGCGCAAGGCTTTTCCGCTTACAACAAAGTCCTGTGATGTGAAAAAACATGCACTGCACAAGATTGGAGCGGCTTATTTAGAGAGGTATATCAAGCCAAGCGAACAAAATTTTATAATCGGCTTAACCTCTGATGATTTGCTCTTGTGTGTTTGAGCAGGGATTTTCCAGTTGGTTCCTTTCCAACAGCCTTGGCTTTCATGTATGCTCACCCTTGCGAGACACTCTCCAAATCAGGGATCCCGATCATGCCCGTTTCTAACTTCACTTTCACAAGCCAGGCTTACAAAGAGAGGCCGAGCAGGAGCACGAGTCCAGACGAGGTTATCTGGGGTCCTTGGTGGGAGTCAACGTACTGTCACTTGCTCTGTGGGCTCATTCAACGCATGGAAGTGGATTATATTACCTCTTTCTTTGCTTACACCCTTGTCCAGGCGCTCAACATGCTGGAGGCTGAATGGAGAAGCCTCTGTCATGACATAAGAACTGGAAAACTGGATGAGAGAGTCAAAGACGTCAAACTGAGGGCAGCTGTTGCAGGGGTGCTGCATGAAGATCCAGATTCAGCTGGCTTCATAGAGGAGGTCTGCAGCAGCAAGGAGTCATGGGATCAAGGGATAGTTCCACAATTTTAGCCCAAAGCTAAATACTTATGGACTGTGGTAACAGGTGGGAAGAGTCTAGTTTTTTGCTTTCCTTTGTGATGTGTGTGGTTCTGCACCTATAGGTGGTATGAAGCCGTACGTTCCTCCTCTACGGAGGTATGCAGGAGGTGTGCATATTATAGGAAGGGCGTACATGGGTTCCGAAGGAGTATACGGAATAAACATGGATCCCGCTACTGAACCCGAGAACGTTGTCTTCACACTTGTCCCTACGACATTATACATGGAGTTTCTTCGGCTCAGGGACAACAAGCTGGTGGACTCGAGTAACTTAGAAATCGGTGAGCAGTACGAGCTAGTTATTACCACATATTCAGGTGAGCAGTCGATCTTGTTTCATTTCTCATTCACTGGCATGGGCTTTACAGGTTTGTATCGGTACAAAGTGGGGGATGTGGTCAAAGTCGTTTCTTTCTTTCACCAGAGCCCACAAATGGCCTTTGAATATCGTACCAGTGCGCTGCTAAGCGTAAACCTGGACGTAGCCAGTGAACAAGAGCTCCAGAACGTGGTAAGAAGAACATGCAACGAAGCAAACCTGGAAATCGTGGATTTCACAAGTCACTCAAACGTGACGGAGCCGCCTGGCTACTATGTCATCTACTGGGAGCTGAAAAACAAGCCAGATTACTCCAATCATGCGCTTCTAAACAGGTGTTGTGATGTTCTGGATCGCTCCTTCACTTCTTCCACATACATCATGGGGAGAAGGAGTGGCACAATCGGACCCCTCAAGCTTGTGATCCTGGAAAGAGGCAGCTTTGGCAGGATTATGGAGTATGCAGTGAGCAATGGCTCTGCACCTGGACAGTACAAAACTCCAAGGTGCATCAAGAGCCCAAAAGTGCTGAAGATTTTGGAAGAGGGGATTGTGAGCACTTATAGGAGCTCCAAATATCCATCTTACTATAACTTAATACAATATATCAATTGAAGATATTGATCAATCTTCCACAATGGTTAAATTCTCAAGGTTCTGTTGAAAGCAATAATAATATAAAATCCCCCGAATTTGGTCAAAACGGAATTACATTTAAAGTTTTTGCTTTTCTCAGCTAAGAAAATGAATATTGCATTTTAACAAAACTATAAACAATATGTAGAATATTCGATAATCTTGAGTTGTCTAGAAACCATGATGTTCCACCAAGGTAACGTGTTTGATTTGGCTTCCACTTCTTCAGAGTTTATAACAATTTCCAGACTTGCAATCCATCTTCCTGCCACCTTTATAAATCGGAGTTAATCCTCCCCATAGAACGAGCAATGGATCTCCGACTCCAAGCACTGCTTGCGCTGCTACTCATCGTCGCGGCCTCCGCCGAAGATTGTGGCCGTCAGGCCGGGGGAAGAACTTGCCCACCCGGAAATTGCTGCAGCAAATGGGGGTGGTGTGGAGTCACCCCGGATCACTGCGGCGATGGCTGCCAGAGCCAGTGTGGCGGATCAACCCCCCCGGCTCCTCCAAGCGGTGATGGCATTGGGTCGATCATCACGTCCTCGATCTTCGAGGACCTGCTCAAGCACCGCAGGGATTCCGGCTGCGCTGGCGGCTTCTACACTTACACCGCCTTCATCACCGCCGCGAGGTCCTTCCCGAGCTTTGGAAACGAGGGATCGCTGGAGGAGAGGAAGCGAGAGCTGGCCGCGTTCTTGGCACAGACATCCAAGGAGACCACGGGTAAGTAAGAATGATCGAGAGATCGATCATGCCACCACTCTGTTGGCTTCCAGAGCTTTGAGTTCTCGAATTTCTTGGAATTCCAGGGGGATGGGCGACTGCTCCAGATGGGCCATATCGCTGGGGCTATTGCTTCGTCGAGGAGAGGAACAAGGACACTTACTGTCAAGCATCGCAGCAATGGCCCTGCAATGGGGGCAAGAGATACTTTGGTCGAGGACCCATCCAGCTGACATGGTAGTACCAAAATCTCTGTTCTTGCTTTTCTTTTCTTGCGTTCTCGTGTGGAGTTTCAAGCGAATTTCTCTTGGTTGGAGAGTTTGACCTTGATATGACAATGTTCTTGCGCTTGGATAGAGCTACTCATCTGTAGATTGTCATTTCTTGGCAGTGCCACTTACAAATCTTCTCTTTGTGGCAGGAATTTCAACTATGGGCTGGCCGGATCACGGCTTGGCTTCGATGGGATCAACGATCCAGACATTGTTTCGAGAGATCCGGTGGTTTCCTTCAAGACGGCGATCTGGTTCTGGATGACTGCGCAGAACCCCAAGCCTTCGTGTCACGACGTCATTCTCGGGAAGTGGAGGCCATCTGGCGCGGACTTGGCCGCCGGGAGAACCGCGAGCTACGGGACGGTGACCAACATCATCAACGGCGGACTTGAGTGTGGGAAAGGCGAGGATGACCGTGTCAAGGATCGCATTGGCTTCTTCCGGAGCTACTGCCAGGTCTTGGGGATCAATCCAGGATCAAACCTTGACTGCTACAACCAGCGGCCTTTCACACAGCTGCTGATGGAGAAAGCAAGCCAGTGATCAAATCTAGAGGAATAAGAACTTGCAAAGCTTGCAAAGAATAAGCACTTAGCTCTCAAGATGGAAACTGGAAAAACTTACTCGAAATGTGCTCATTCATCTCGCCCTTTCAGCTCTCGAAATCTTCTCTAAAGCCCGCGAAGATTTGCTTTGCTGCTCGTCAACCCTGCGAAATACAAAGAAACAACGCATTAGAGAGACGATAGAGGTAGTGATCGATCGATGGTTTTTCCAATCACTGTACGAAATGAAATGAGACAGTAAAACTCGTGCACAGGTAAAGGTTAATGCATAGAAGGAGAAAGACAACACTCTACCTGGAAGCTATCCACAGTGCTCCTATAATCCACAATGCTCCACACGGGCAAAATCTTGTGCTCCATCGACGCATATTTGCGAAATTTTCTCTGGAAAGAGAGCGAGGAACAAGGATTAAATCCAGAGGAAAACCTCGCAGCTAGTACCTGGAGCTTTAGACCCACCAACGGTCTAGATCTGCCCAGCCCGCAGGATCCGACGCCCGAAATTCAATCTCCCGGCTCAGCCGCTCCGCGCGCTCGCTGTCGTCGTGGATCTGGCAAGCTCCAAACACCGCCGTGAGCGCCACCCTGTTCTTCCCCAGCGGCATGGATCTCGCCAGCTTCTCCGCCTCCTCCAGCCACCCAGCTCGGCCCAGGAGATCCACCAAAGCAATCCAGATGCTGGACAGAGCTCTCAATCCCGTGATCGCCCACCATAGCCAGAAAGTAGCGCCGGCCTTCCTCCACCATCCCAGAGTGGCTGCAAGCGAAGAGGATGGTGATGAAAGTCACGTCGTCCGGTTTGATCCCTTCCAAGTCCATCCGCTGGTAGAGCTCGAGAGCTCGCTGGCTGAGCGAAAGCCGAGATGATAGCAGTCCAGGAGATGAGCGTCGCCGCTGCCATCCTTCCAAAAACGCTGCTTGCCTCCAGGCTCCCGGACTGGCCGTAGAAAGTTATCAGCGCGTTGGACACCGAGGTGCTCGCTTCCAGTCCCTCCTCAATAATCCTGGAGTGGATCATCCTCCCTCTGGCCAGGGAGTTTTGATCCATGCACACCGCCACCAGCCGCATGAACGTTGTCTCGTCGCCTCTCACTCCTTCCAGCTCCATCTTTTCAGTGACGGTGCCACATACTTTGCCACTCGATGAGCAGGAAAGATTTCCTTTTGTCTTTTATACATTCATAAGCTGTCTTACACATTGCTGTTGGTCTCTCTTCCAGGTCCAGCTTGCCGAGGCTTTGGAGGAAGAGGATGCCGGCAGTGACAGCTCCAATGGCGATCACTGCTGGCGCTTCTGGAGTTGTATACTTAACATCAAGCGTTTCTTCTTCTTCGTTTTTAACGTTTACACCATTTCTTCCAGGGCATTGGCTCGGCTGTGAACAAACTAAACAGCCAACTTGCAATGGTGGCGACTGTTCGCAGCATTGCGGATGCAATGGGACTAGAACCATCCACTGAAAAGATTCCAGAGAGAGCTCGAGACAAAGCTTGATTAGTTCTTCGACGATCAAAGCCAAACGAATCACAGTCACAAGCAAGAACAAAGAAAAACTCCGTCACCCTTCTTGCCGCTTCCTTGTATCATAATTAAATATTATTTTGTAAAAAAAGTGAAGAAAGTAATTATTATAATTGATTTGTTCTGAAATATTTCATTTTCGCCTTGAGAGGAGCGGTCGCCGACCTCACTAATATTTTGGCGGACTTTTGAACAGTATCACGTGGATCTTGCCTACACTTGAAGTCTGTCACGCTGTTTGATTTTCTTGGGAGAGGAGAATCAACACGCCAACACTGATCCCATTTGCATTTTTGCATATCCATCAGTCTCATGCTAGCGTGGGCACCACAATAAGAACACAACATATAGATAGATAGATAGATAGATAGATATCTCAAGAACACAGCTAGAATGGAGGCGCTGATCAATGAGTTTGAGGACATGTGTAAGAATGCAGCAGCTGTTCAGGAGGAGGTCTTGGGGACCATTGTTGAGCACAATGCTTCTTGCGAGTTCCTCCAGAGCTACAATGTGACCGATGCAGATTCATTCAAAGCTCATGTCCCCGTTGTGGGCTATGAAGACATTGCTGTGAAGATCCACCGCATGACAGATGGAGATCCAGCCTCCATCCTGTGCAAAGACCCCGTCCTTGCGTTCATCTCGAGGTTTGATAGCCATATTTGTTTGCTTAGCTCCAATACAACATATGTTTTATGTAGCTCCGGAACAACCACTGAGAAGCGCAAGGCTTTTCCGCTTACCACAAAGTCCTGTGATGTGAAAAACCATGCACTGTACAAGATTGGAGCGGCTTATATAGAGAGGTATATCAAGCCAAGCCAACAAGATTTTATAATCGGCTTAACCTCTGATGATTTGCTCTTGTGTGTTTGAGCAGGGATTTTCCAGTCGGTTGTTTTCCAACAGCCTTGGCTTTCATGCATGCTCTCCCTTGCGGGACACTCTCCAAATCAGGGATCCCGATCATGCCCGTTTCTAACTTCGGTTTCACAAGCTAGGCTTACAACGAGAGGCCGAGCAGGAGTACGAGTCCAGACGAGGTTATCTGGGGTCCTTGGTGGGAGTCTGTTAGGTGCCAGCTTTGACTACGTGGTCAACGTCGGTCAAAGGGAGGCTCAAGGGTATATTAAGGCATGTTAGGGTAAAAGACTTAACCTACCCTAGGGCTCACAGTGGAGCGGCAGCGTAGTGGAGCTTTTGAGGTAGCTCGGGGTGGTTGGGTGGTGAGGAACCTCAAGAGGTGGCATAGCATAGTCTAGGGCAACTAGATTTTTGTCTTTTTGCGCCGGATCATAACATTGGTATCAGAGAAGTTGGTTGCGATGGCCGACCAAGCTGAACGCTGGAATCCTATCGTCGATGGTGGTGCCGACGATGGTGCCGACGAAGCTGTGGAGATTTGGACCATTCAAGATGTGGTTCATGAGCTGCGAGCCCTTAATAAAAATCAGCAAGAGATGCAAGACGAGATGCATGGCATGATGGATACCATGCGTGGGCGTGTTGAGGCATTCGAGGCTGGACGGGGTAGTGCTCCAAGTAAGCCTTCTTTGGTAGATCGACTCAAGATTCCAACTTTTTCCGGTGATGGTGGTGTGGACGAGTGTCTCGCTTGGCTAGCCAATGTGAAGAAGTTCTTGGCTGCTAGAGGAACTCCAGATGCAGAGGCTTTAGTGGCTATTCCGATGGTTTTGCGTGATGCGGGTCTTCGATGGTGGAATTGGCTTGAGGAGTCCCGTGTTGCGGATAAGAAACCACCAGTGTCTACCATGGATGAGTTTGAGGCTGCTTTCCATTTACGTTTTGCCCCTCATTACGATGTGGAGAATGCTCGTACAGAACTTTGCCATTTCCAACAAGGGAAAATGACACTCGGGGATTATATTGAGAAGCTTACTCGCTTGATTAGTCGTGTTCCAACGAAGGATCCAAATCAGAACAAGTCCTACTTCATTGATGGCCTACATAGTGAGAGCATGCAGCAACACTTGCGTCATTCTCAGCCTACAAAGAGTTTGGAGGAGCTCTTTGATGCGGCTCGTCAACTTGACAATGACAAGCACAAGTCTCGCAAGCATTCGCGGAGTCCTTCTGTTGAGAATCGTCGTGATGATCGCCGTGGACACAAGGATGGGAACAAGCATCACAAGTTGAAGTCGGTGGTGACAACTTCAGATGCAAAGGGGTCCAAGAAGCAGAAGTTCTTTGTGAAGAATTATAGACAAGGTTGTCATCATTGCGGCGAACTTGGACACTATAAGGCTAATTGTCCACAGTTGAAGAACAAGCAGCAGGACAAGAAGAATGGCCAATCATCTTCTCACGGTAAGTCAGATACTAAAAAGTTGCAAGCTTTACAACGTGAGGATGACGAGAACGACCATTCCGGTCGGAGGAAGAGACTTTCGATCGTTGTTCGTCAACTCAACTGTGTGTGGAACAAGATGGAGCTCGAGGATACGCGTGACTCAGCTTTAATGCTGGAGGGCGTGTTCCGTGGCGATCCAGTGCGGATTTTACTGGATAGTGGGAGCGATGACAACTTTGTTTCGGCAAAGTTTGTTGCGGAGCATCGCCTGAACACACGTGGAGTTCTTCCATACACAGTGGAAGGTGCAGCTACCTCTACTTAGCATTTTGATGCTTGTGTCGAGGGGCTGGAAGTGTTGGTTGGCAAAACCACACTTGTGGAGACTTTTTATCTTGCGGATATCCATCGTGTGGATCTCATTCTTGGAATGCCATGGTTGGTGAAGGTGGATCCAGAGATAAAGTGGAGCATTAAGCGTATCTCATTGGAGTATGGTGGCATTAAAGATGTGTGGTTTGGCGAGGGCGTTCAACCACCAGTTGTTATGCTCTCTGCTACATCTTTGAAGCGGGCTTGTCGTAATGGAAAAGCACTTTCAAGTTACTTGTTGTTTGTTCATGACTTGGGGGACCAAGGCACGTGTGGGGGAGAAGCAGCAGTACAAGATGTACTTGATGAGTTTTCTGATGTTTTTCCATCTGAACTTCCTCATGGATTGCCTCCATTACGAGGTGTGGAGCATGGGATTACATTGGAGCCGGGGACGCGGCCAATTTACTGGCGTCCATTTCAGTTAAGTTATGCGGAGGAGCAAGAAGTTCAACGACAAGTCAAGGAGTTACTTGAGTTTGGATTCATTCAGCCAAGTAAGTCTCTATTTGGTGCTCCGGTCTTGCTTGTGAAGAAGAAGGACGGTTCAATGCGAATGTGTATTGACTGTCAAGACCCCTGACAAGATCAAGACTGGAAAATGCAAAAAGACAAAGAGAAAAGTTAGTGGAAACAAAGAAGAGGCCTTAGACTGGCGTTGATTTAGATTGTGGAGAAATGGAACAAGGCTAACCTATATATACTATAGGTTGATGAAGCTCCACCACTCTTGGATTGAGGACGGCCTAAATATAGCTGAGGTCGAGGAGGCGCCACATCATCATCAGGAATGTGGTTCGAGACTCAGGAATCGGGAAGTGTCTCGAGAGTCAGGAATAGGGAAGTGTCTCGAGAGTCAGGAATAGGGAAGTGTCTCGAGAGTCAGGAATAGGGAAGTGTCTCGAGAGTCAGGAATGTGGTTTGCAGGTCAGGAATCCGGCGAGAGTCAAGAATGTGGCAAGAATTGGGGGATTCCTGACAGCACCCCCTCCTCAAGAACGAGTGGAACGAGGATGTGAACGAGAACGAAGAGGAGGATGAGATGAGCGGCGAAGGATGGGAGATGGAGAAAAAGAATGAGGACTAGGACGAGAAGGATAGCAGCGGTGGAAGTCTTGAACAAGGTCAGGAGAATGAATCAGGTTGTCCGCAGGTTCCCAAGTGCGTTCCTCAGGTCCGTAACCCTTCCAGTCCACCAAATAGTAGAGTTTAGACCGTGAAATCTTGGAATCAAGGATGTCCTGAACCTCGTACTCAGACCCATCCTCGAGCTGCACTGGTGGAGGTGGAGGAATGACCCGATTTGGAATAGGACTGGGATTATAAGGCTCAAGGAGAGAGGAGTGAAAAACGGGGTGAATTTGATATGAGGAGGGAAGTGCAAGGCGATAAGTGACAGGATTAATGATGGCAGTGATAGGGAAAGGACAAAGGCGTTTGAAATTGAGTTTTGGATAGGGCCTGGTGGTGGAGATATTTCGCTTGAAGAGCCAGACTTATCCCCGATATTGTAAGGGGGACAATCCTGACGATGGACATTGGCAAATGTTTTATGAGATTCCTGAGCACGATGGAGGTGGAAGGAGATGGAGTTGTGGATTTCCTGGAGGTTGGAGATAAATGCCTCAGAGCGGGGATTTGAACGAGAGGATTCAGATGGAGAAGGAAGTGAGAGATTGAATTGGGGATTTCGGCCAGAGTTTGCAAAGAAGGGGGAAACTCGAAGAGAGGAGTGAACAGAGTTGTTATAGGAGAACTCAGCAAGAGGAAGGATATCGAACCAGTTATCCTGATGATAGTTGATGAAGCACCTCAAGAATTGTTCCAACATCTGAATCGTTCGCTCGGACTGCCCATCAGTTTGAGGATGATATACCGAAGAGAGGTTGGCCTTCACTCCAAGCAGCTGCAAAAACCGTTGCTAGAAATGAGAGATGAACTGAGGCCCCCGATCCGAAACCACATCTGTAGGAATCCCATGAAGTCAGAAAATTTCCCTGAATACCAGTTTTGCCATGTCCTCGCCCAAAAACTCCTTGGTATATGGCAAGAAGTGCACCATCTTTGTGAAGCGATCCACCACGACTAAAATGCTGTTGAAGCCTCCAGAACTCAGAAGATCACTCAAGAAATCCATGGAGATGGATTCCCAAGGACCTGAAGGGACCAGAAGGGAACGAAGCAAACCTGAAGGAAGGTGGCGAGGTACCTTATTTCGGGCACAAGTGTCACAGGAGGTAACAAAAGCTTTGATGTAGTTGTCCATGTGAGGCCACCAAAAGTCCCGTACAACTAGCTCATAGGTTTTCGCAATGCCGAAGTGACTAGCAGTCGGGCTATCGTGGCACGCCATCAGGACCAACCTTCGAGCATCACCTTCAGGAACGTAAAGCTGCTCCCCACGGTACAATAAACCATCTAAGAACTCGAACTCGTCAAATCGCCGGCAGTCGGGAGTCACTGGGTGTCCAGCCTGAAGATGGGGGAAAATGTCGCTAGCGAGATCATCGGATTGAAGATCGTTTTTGATTGCATCCATCAAGGAGGAGTCCTGAGGGGCCAGGGAAATTGCCATAACTTGAAGCCGATCAGGACCGAGGATAACTTGATCCTGTTGATCGAAGGCAGGATTACCAGGCCTGAGACTGAGATAGGAGCGCCTTGAAAGAGCATCAGAAAGGCCTTGAAACTTTCCAGGTCTGTACTTGATAACAAAGTCAAATCGACTTAGGAATTGTGCCCACCTTGCTTGACGACGGCTTAAAACTCGGGAAGTGGCAAAGTACTCGAGATTTTTGTGATCCGTCCAGACTGTTGTTTGATGGCTTGCCCCCTCCAAGAAACGGTGCCACTCTCCAAAGGAATCCACGATGGCAAGGAGCTCCTTGTCGTGGATTTCGTAATTGATCTCTGCAGGCTGGAATTTCCGAGAATGGAAAGTGACCGGATGAAGTTTGTGATCCGCTCCGAGTTGAGACAGCACAGCACCAATGGCAAAGTCGGAGGCATCAGCCTCGATGAAGAAAGGTTGTGAGGAATCAGCATGGATCAAGACAGGAGCAGAACTGAAGGCTACCTTGAGTGTGTCGAAGGCCTGTTGGGCAGCGGCAGACCAAGAGAAGGGAACATCCTTGTGAGTGAGATGTGTGAGAGGAAGGACAATGTCAGAGTAGTGATCAATGAATTTGTGGTAGAAGTTGGCGAAGCCAAGGAAAACCTGAACGTCTGACATTGATTGTGGAGGCTCCCATTCGAGAATAGTCTTGACTTTGGCAGGATCCATCGTGATACCCTCAGGAGTGACAATGTACCCAAGGA